GGGGGAATAAAGGTTGGGGACTACTGATCTAAAACTCTGAGAGGCAGCAAGTGATATCCGTTCCTTTAAGAAATGCTATAAGTCTTTAGCCTTTAATGTACTTCAATGATGTTAGAATAAAACCACCATTTTCATTAACTGTGTATTTAAAGCACATCTCTATGTCTTGCTTTGGGTTTCTTTAGGCTGATGTAAAATGAAACCTCTAATTGGGATCCAGTTTTCTGCACAGTCTTGTTTTCTCTCACCAGCTCATGTGTCCTTTACATGGTGACACCATCCAAAGGCACAGTTTAGGTCCTGTGTTCCACTAGAGGAGTCCAATTAGCACACGCAGTTATGTCAGCAAGAGCTCGATACATTCATTACTCCAATTTCCCCTCTTGTCATTAACATCCACGGAGGAAAATCATTTCACCTGTTTTCGTATGCATGCATACAAACGAAAAAGATGAAGGTCCTGCTGGCTTGCTCAAGAATTCTGCAAATTGTGCAGATTTAGGATTTTTTTTAATGCTAGGGAGAAAATGACACTCTTGCACACTTGGAAATGATGACACATTCATTCAGTGACACCTGCATCTTGTGATTAAATGCAGAAGCCTGAAAATGTGGAGAGAGGAGGAGGAAAATAATGTCAAGGAAGACGAAAAAAATCTGTCAATACACAAGCTGATACACACAGATACATCCCAGTCGAGTCATATCTGTGAGGACACCTGCATCAGGAGTGTGTGTGTGTGTGTGTGTGTGCGTGCGTGCGTGCGTGCGTGCGCGCGCTACAGCAAACACGCATGTACATTTTGTGTGCTTATTTTCTGCTTCCCCCTCCTCTCCTCCTCCTGTTTCTCTAGAAAGGCGTTGGGCCTGCTGCACATGCTGACATCAGCAACCAGCGGCGCCCCCTAGACACCCCCCTCCCCACCACACAATCACTACACACACCTCACAGTGGCAGTTTACATCAAGCGAGTCCCGCGCGAGTTTGACATGAAATTACACTAAAAGAAAATGTTGATTGTGACTCAACTCTTCATCCCTCCTAATTAACTAAACACAGCATTTCCTCATCCTTTAATGAATCTGCTTGTTACACCTTTGTTATGTGGCTAATGCAAAGCCTGCAGCTCATCTATGGTAAGAAACAGGAGACTGCTCCAGTCCACTCACCTGCAGGCCTACATTACCACTCCCTGCTCAGCGGCAGGTAAAGGATATGGCCATTCGGTGATCTTTTTGGCATATTTCCTCACGAAGTTGTCCTCGCTGAAGATGAACAGCGAGCGGTTGACAGTGAAGCAGTTCTGGCGCACAGGGATGGGGTTATAGAGGGCCATGGTCCGGGCCCGCTGCGCCATGGACTGCTTGTACATCCTCTGGGCCCCGGGCCCTCCGTGCGGTGGCCCGTGGCCGTGCGCGCCGTGAGCGCCGTGAGCGCCGTGGCCGTGTCCGTGACCGTGTCCGTGGGGTCCGCCTTGCCTGCTGCCGCCGCGGCCCCCGGGCCCCATGCCGCCGGGGCCCCCTCCGACGCCGCCGTACCTGGCCGGCACCTCGTCTCCGAACCGCGCCATTCTGTGGCCGCCGATGTTGGACGCCTGTCTTCACGAAGCCGCGGAGAAGAAGGAGACCGGTGCTCAGCTGTGTGGCCACACAACATTACATCTCATCTGGATCCGGACGTGTTGGTAAAAAGCTGCTGATGGAACACTCCCCCCTCCACGTCTAACCCCCCAACAACACAAACAGGTACAGACTCCTGGTTTTTCAGCAGACGAGGACGCCCATGGATGACTCTGCGCGCGTCTCTGCCAGCGGCCAACTGTGGGTGTGAGGAAATTAAACGTGTGGTCCGCTCGGCTGGCTGCCCGCACTGTGGGGGTGTCTCAGTCCATATGAAGCAGGAATCGTGCCCCCATCCTCCCCAAAAAACATGAAATCACGGGGCGTTAAAATGAATCTTTCATATGTTCCGCATGCTTGGATCAGAGCGCACCAGGATGTCACCGCACCTTCCCAAACAAATCCATTTCTGTTCATAAGAGGACAATTAGTTCAAAGAAAAAAAAAACCCAGGCCTCAGTAACAGCTTGTGAATCTGAAAGGGAGGAAAACAATTTAAAAAAGAGGCTTTTAGGGAGGTGTGGGGAGGGGGAGCGAGGAAGAGCTACAATTATTTATTTATTTCGGAACATCCGCAATGTTTGATACAGAGTGTGGCAGCAGAAGGTGGCTACAGCTGCTGTAGGAGCGCGCGCTGACAGAGAGCAGCAGAATCCTCCCGTTTGGCATTCGAGAGTCTCATTTTAATCACCTCCAATAAAGACAGAGAGACAACAGAAAGAAAGGATGAGGATGAATATATGTGTATATAAAATACCGTTTTTCCATCCAAACGTCGGTGTCATCCTTGGAGCATGTCCCCCCCTCAACAATTAATTGACTTGCATCCCTTCCATCGTTTTCACCAATAATCCAGAAGCGGAGGAGGGAAAGGAAAAAAAGGGACGGAAAAGCTATAATAGTGATGATGATGATGATGATGATGATGATGATGGTGGTGGTGGTGCTGCTGCTGCTGATGATGATGACGGTCGCTTCTCCGCCGCCTTACACCCTCTCATCATGAGCACGGTTTCGAGGCGCAGCAGAGCCGAAAAAGTCCCTCACCATCCCCGCCCCGAAACGTCTCCACCTTCGGTCCGAACCGAGCAGCCCAAGTGTCCTGGTAGGGGGAGAGTGCGCTCTCTCTCTCTCTCTCTCTCTCTCTCTCTCTCTCTCTCTCTCT